CAACAAAACACCTATTCAACCATAGTCTTGACCAGCGGTTCCTAACAATTTGTGGAAAGGCGGACATCAATGTGATACAAACATCTAAGGCATGCTTCCTTTTTGTTCTTATAGTAATCATCAGCTTATAAATGTCACATTTACTTATTATAATTATTATTAGCAATTATATAGCTCCAACGTATTCCACAGCGCTGTACAATTTTAAAATGGGGTTTATTTGAGTTAAGACCCTGCTCAAATGTACTTACAATCTATGGAACCTGAAGTTTTACTAGAGAGATATGCATACTAATAGCCAAATTGTCCAATTATTGAAAATTAATTGACAAATAAGAATCTAAACTTTAATTCTGACCCTTATTAAAACTCATCTTAAGCACTGCATTAAATCTATTACAATGACGTCACTTTGCTTGAGGCACACTTTAATGTGGCTCGAGGCACACCAGCCTACCACGGCACACTGGCTGAAAAACACAGGTCTAGAGGGACATATTATAAATAAGGCCGATTATTGTGTGCCTATCATACAGAAATGTAAGCAAGGTCACCTTCAAGGAAATGATCATATATAACCTATACATTAGACAAGACTATACTGTGCCCTATTAAATAAAGATAGTGTAAAAGGTAGCTGTGCGTCGAGCAAACACCGAATATCAAAATGCCCAGCACCTAAAAAAAAGGTATAAAAATATTAATTAAAATATTACATATATGATAGAAACTAGATACATTAAAATATAGAAACATAGAAACATAGAATGTGACGGCAGATAAGAACCATCCGGCCCATCTAGCCTGCCCAATATTGAACATTGCTATTTGAAACAATCTGCAATTGCAACATTTACATTGTTAAATTGTCCAAATGCAGGAAATATGTTGTGTTTTCAGATTGTTCCTCCATGTTGATATAAATCAGGCTTCCTCAAACTCCGGCCCTCCAGATGTTGCTGAACTACAACTCCCATGATTCTATGAATGAAATAGATAGGCTGAGGATCATGGGAGTTGTAGTTCAGCAACATCTGGAGGGCCGAAGTTTGAGGAAGCCTGATATAAATAAATGGATACAAAGTGGAACATTGTGACATAAAACACCGTATTAAATGATAAAGATTAAGTTGAATAGCAACAAGCATATCACCACAATCTGATTGTTGAATTTCGTGCTTTTTTCAAACAGTCGGCTAATAAAAAATACTTTTCTGTCTTACACGGATCGTGATTTAGTTAAACATTTTTTGCGCGTTGTTAGAGCTTTGTCAGTAGCATCTGACCTTGCCCCAACTATTTATTTTTTTCATGAGATGTTCCATTCTCTTTTAAATGTATAACAACGTTTCATTAAATGACATCAAAGCCTTGCAAATAAAGGAGAGAAATAGAAGCATTCTCTGCAAATAAATCAGAGCACTAGAAACATTCGGCTCTTCTCTGTATGCTCACTGTCAGGTGCAAAGGACACAGTTTATAACAATGATTGACAGGGAGCTAAAACGGAGGTGTCCAATTGCAGGATAAACATTTCATTTTATTCATACCTCCCAAATACATATTAGATAAATATAGAAACATAGAAACATAGAATGTGATGGCAGATAAGAACCATTCGGCCGATCTAGTCTGCCCAATTTTCTAAATACTTTCATTAGTCCCTGGCCTTATCTTATAGTTAGGATAGCCTTATGCCTATCCCACGCATGCTTAAACTCCTTTACTGTGTTAACCTCTACCACTTCAGCTGGAAGGCTATTCCATGCATCCACTACCCTCTCAGTAAAGTAATACTTCCTGATATTATTTTTAAACCTTTGTCCCTCTAATTTAAGACTATGTCCTCTTGTTGTGGTAGTTTTTCTTCTTTTAAATATAGTCTCCTCCTTTACTGTGTTAACGTCTACCACTTCAGCTGGAAGGCTATTCCATGCATCCACTACCCTCTCAGTAAAGTCATACTTCCTGATATTATTTTTAAACCTTTGTCCCTCTAATTTAAGACTATGTCCTGTTGTAGTGGTAGTTTTTCTTCTTTTAAATATAGTCTCCTCCTTTACTGTGTTGATTCCCTTTATATATTTAAATGTTTCTATCATATCCCCCCCGTCTCGTCTTTCCTCCAATCTATACATGTTAAGTTCCTTTAACCTTTCCTGGTAAGTTTTATCCTGCAATCCATGAACCAGTTTAGTATCTTTCTCTCAACTCTCTCTAAAGTATCAATATCCTTCTGGAGATACGGTCTCCAGTACGGTGTACAAATATAGTGGATGGTCAAGCACAAAAATTGCTAAAAACTGGATATTACTAACCAGTAAGAGTATATTCCAGGGGGCTGACGGACCGGCCAGGAAAACAACCCTACACACAGAAATAATAAGGTTTTTCTCTCTGGGAATAAAGCATTTTTAAAAAGAAAAGATAGAAGAACTTCACTATACTGACTTCAGAAAGATGAAGTGATTATGGTGCTTAGAGTTACTCTTTAAGTGTACAATAACGTAATAATGTGAGGATTATATATAAAAACGGTCTCATTCAATTTTACATTTGTGTCAGTCATGTGAACAATTTTTGGTTAGGAATAAATCCGTTATACATCTGCGTGTTTTTAACATTTATGAACTAAAAAAAGAGCCAAAATGGAGCAGGATAATAAAGAGAGGGGAGAGGTGCGGTAAGGAATATATTGGCAAATAATTTGAGGTTAATAGAAAATGTGACATAAAACCTAAACGTGAGCATGGTCCTATGATTCTTATTCCAGCCCAAATATTGCATAGGGCTGTATGTGCCTCTTCTTCATTCAGAGAGCAATGAACTAAAGTACAGAATGTATCATAGTACAGGTGGAAAATCAATGATCTTTGATTACATATAGGACATGTTTGTCAACGAGTACGCACTGTAAGAAATTACTAAACCTCTGCTGACCTCTAGTGGTCATTTAACAGTCACATGTATTTTGCTTCACTGTTTTTTTTAAGCATATTTTGCAAAGAATAATGTTAAAAACTCAAGTAATCATGCTGCTACTTCTAAAAATATGTTATTTTTGTTTTGTTTGTGTGAACAATAAGATCCTATTTCCTATCCATCCCCGACACTCTGCCTTTCTTACTCACAATCGCCGAGCTGCAAATCTGTCCAAACACTCTCAGGACTATCTTAGCACTATCTCAGTGATGGCACACATACATTGGATCAGGTAATGATGCATTAATCTATAGAATGGAAAAATACAAATAGATATACAGTGGGACCTCGGTTTACGAATTTAATGCGTTCTCCAGGACGTTTCTTATTGCGAAAAAATTTTAAACCGAAACGCGGTTTCCCATGGGAATGCATTGAAAACCAATTAATCCATTCTGGAGGTCAGAAAAAAGTAAAAATGAGCTGACATAAAAACCAACCCACAATGCAGAACACACAATAAAAGGCATGCAAACGACGAAGCTCAGCTCCCTACCTTTCCACAGCTTGTGAAATGCACCAAAAAGTCCCAAAACAACTGCAAACAATTATGTTAACCAAGTCATTTGTAAACCGAGGTCCCACTGTATTTTACTGTTTACCCTTTGAGTGCCATGGACAATTAAAATAAACCTGAGCACGGAAATTTAAACTACAAGTACGTTGCAAATATGAGTTATGTTCGTAGCTAAATTCTATAAGGGAGGATTTATACATTTAATTCTTACTTTTCTATATTTCTTTTTATTAAAATATATTTTTGGATTTAACAATTTGAAATGATAACTACATCAGCAAAACAAATGGTAGCAGATCAAAGCTGCATTACTTAACATAACAAACATGTTCATGTTAAACACACGCAACATTGTTAAAATTTCACATGCGTACTGCCGGGGTTATTTACTAAAGAGAGAATTGAAAAGGGAATTTCAAATTTAAGGCCAGAGCAGCTAAAGTTAAAGCATTGGTGACTTAGAGATTTTTTAAAAAATTTTTAGAATTCACCTTGTTTTTTCACTTTACTGAATATCCCTGAATGAGGGAAAGGTGGGGTGAGGTAGGAGCGTGAATTAGTCCAGTAAAAATACTTTGTATATGTGACCTAAATAGAACCATCTCATTCACATAATTGATAATATAAACACAAATATATTTTTCCTATTTAATACTCCCTTTACCGATCTATGCAAAGCACAGTATGAACCCGTTCACTATCAGTGTTACATATATACAACCAAATAGTAATTGACACAATTCTCAGAGGTTCCCACTTACAAGTGTTGGTTCCTTTTCACCCAATATGCAGATTTTTTTTCACATTAGAATAGAAAAAAATAGAAAAAAGCAAAAAAAAGACTTATAGTGTATGTAGTGGAGCTCCAATCCCTGACTAGGTATCTCCGCTGATTCCTCCTTGAAGCTAGAAGAAGCGATGCTCGGTGATTATAACTCTTCCTCGAAGAACACACAGTTTTGGGAGTCAACTGATTTTCATTGTGCCACACTCAACTTTTTTATTTACAGACCCCCAGCATGGGGTCTCCGTACCACACAACACAAACCTCTCCCAGGATTCCCTGTGTTTGGGAGATAATTGAGTCAAAGACCGATAACTCAATTACCTCTCAGCTATAGGGAACCATATATAAAATATAAAACACCCCAAAACTACATTCAAACTACACAGGAACACCACAAGTCTTATATCCCCAAAAAGCCAATATCTGAGCGCCAACGTTGTCCAAATAGTGCTCAGATCCATTTGATGTAACATAACCGCCATTCGGGTAAAATTCTGATCGGCCGACCACAAGGTGGTAGCCCAAAACAGTTCCAGAGAAAAAGAGCAGCGGCCGGTCAACTTTCGGGAGTCAACACACATGATTCGCTCACTTTGGGAGCGAATGTTCCCCTCAGACGAACAAGTCTTTTCCCCGTAAAGTGCTCTCCTGGCTTGTCTATGAGTGGAGCAGGTGGTAGTACAGTTTCTCTGGGGTTCACAAGCTATTGTGTCCGAAATTAGTTCCATGCACTTGATGACCAAGCACCGCTACCTGTGTGCAGGAGACAAAATGGCTGCCATTTCATAAAGCACATGCGTTCGGTCCTTCAAATGGCGGCCACTCAGAGAGAGCACTTGAGATAATTGGTTTCTTTGAAGTTAATGAGCCAGAGGGTGGTTGGATTTCAGTGGGCATAAAAGGGGGAATGAGTTTTTGTTCGGAAAACGAATGAGGGGTAACGGCAAACAAACAGAGAGAATACCCAGCCTGCTACAGTGTAGTAATAATGCGTCGCGCCAGCATAGTGTGCTGATATAGAGGGTGAAAAAATTACTTGGAATTGGAAAACTCTTACTCCAATGAAAGAATGCATAAAGGGCTTCAAAATAAACAAAAGAGTGCCTTTATTTTAAGTAGACGTACATTTGCATGTAATGTTTCAGTACAACTACTTTGGCCTATTAAGGACATTTTAGTAATGGTACTGAAATGCTGAATGTCTGCAGTTGCACAACTAAAAAAAAATGAAGTGATCTTGTTTATTTTGAAGTTCTATGGGTGCGCTCTTCACTTTGCATATGTTATTGTGCATGAGTATGCAACTAGCAACAAGACAGGTCCAATACGTGCTCATTACATGCATATATATATATATTTATATATATTTGTCCCCCCCTTCCCTGGTGTCTCTCTATTACCCCTCTCTTTGTCCCCCCATCCCCTGTCTCTCTATTACCCCATCTCTCTATGTGTCCCCCCGTGCCCTATGTCTCTCTATTACCCCTCTGTCTCTTTGTCCCCCCCACCTGGTGTCTCTCTTACCCCTCTGTCTCTGTGTCCCCCTTCCCCTGTGTTTCTATTACCCCTCTATTTGTCCCCCTTCTCCTCCTATTTGTCCCTCCTTCCCCTTGTTTTGTCCCCCCTTCCCCTCTTTTTGTCCCCCCTCCCATTCCCTCCCTCCCCTTTATTTTCCTGTGTGCCTGCTGACTTTGTTACAGGAGGACAGAGGGAGGGGGCGGAGCTAACTACCATGCTCCCTCGCGGTTCCCATAATTCCCAGCATGGACACATCATAGAGTAGTGATTACTGTATGATGTATAGATGCAGGGAATTATAGGAACCGCGAGGGAGCATGGTAGTTAGCTCCGCCCCCTCCCTCAGTCCTCCTTCGCTGACAGCTATGCTGCTGTCAGTATCAGTGAGTGTGCTGCTGGATTGCTTAGGCGGCCGCCCGGCACACTCACTGATACTGACAGCTGTCAGCACAGGAAATGGGGCCCCCGGCTGCAAGGTGAGTAATCACCTCAGAGTGTGCCGCTGGACCGGCCACCCGGCGGCACCGACATTCGGCCGGCAGCCGCGATATTATTTAAATATAGAGAGCAGGGCTCCCTCTCTCTCTCCACCCTCCCACGTGCCGCGGCCCACCGGGAGATTTCTTGGTATCCCGGTGGGCCAGTCCGGCCCTGCCAAATAGCCCAACCAGCAGTCCCACAGGACCCCAGGTAGAAATGTGTGGGAATGTGTGTGTGTGTGTGTCTGGCTGTCAGTGTGTGTGCCTGGCTGTCAGTGTGTGTGTGTATGTCTGTTAGTGTTTCTGTGTGTGTGTGTGTGTGTGAGGTGTGAGTGTGTCAAAGAAAGCACCAGAAACAGCTACAAGAGACATGGTGATGCATTTACAGCAAAACAAAGACAAGCAGGCGTTACTCCTCTCCTAGGTATTGGATGGCTGAGAACCACAAGTAAGGTTCCACTAGCCTTAAATCCCTAACCTATTATTTCTTGCCCCTGCTGGTTGGCCCGAATACACAAGGGTAGCATTAAAGGCCCTAGTCAAGCTGAACTCATAACATGAAACCTCTAGCAGGCTGTACCGAGCTGGTAGTCCTATTAAAAATTAAAAACCACAGCTCACTATCGACACTGAAACTGTTTATTTTGTATTGCGATGTTTGCCATTTGCTGTAATACCAGTAATTATCCTATAACGACATCTTCATAATTTGTAAGAATGAGGAATAATATATAAAGAAGTTTAAAAAACTAAACTAAACAAAAAACCTGTATTCTCTTTAATCTTTGTTTCCCATTCCTCCCAGTAGTGTCTAAGGTTATCTAACTGCAAAGAAGGTTGTTTGAGAGCCAGTTCGTACCTTTTTTTTTTTCTAGTATATAATTCAAAACTTCTTTAATAGTCGGGATTGTTGGTGACTTCCAGTATCTGGGGATGACCATAGTAGCACCTAAAAAGAATATGTCCAATTATAATTTTACCATTTTTTTAAATAGTACCATGGAAGAATTTGAATAAAGCCCATTCTGAAGTGAGTACAGAAATATTAGAATAATTTTTTTGGATTCATTTATGTATTTTCTGCCCAAATTGTGTGAGTTTAGGACAATACCAAAAAACACGTGAAAGCGAGCCAATCCTTCCACATTTTCAATAATGATAAATCGTACTTGGCATCGCTTACTTGTCCTGAGCTAGAGAAATAGAATGAATGCACATCACACATGGAAATAAACAGTTTAAACGTTGTACTTTGCATCACACGCTGAAGGCATTGCAGAGGATTTATTGCAGTTCCAGAACGTCGTGGCATTTTAGATCTACACTACAAAATATTTCCATATTTGATATATCAGACACAACCATTCCGGGCAAGCAAGCAATCTCTCTACCTTAGATTGGTCTTTTCTTTTGTAGTGAAATATTTACTTGTTTGAGGTTCGAGGTTTATGAGTCATTGCTCCAGGCAGTGTTATTAAAATTGCCGTTGTGTTTGATATATCTGTGTATGAACCCCATGTCAACAAAGGGATGCATATTTTTTGTTTCTTTCTCTCTGTGTTATGTTTTGATCGTCTCATGTAGTGCTTCGTACATTCTGGGCTGAAGAGGAATTGTAAAATGTAGGACAAAATAGTTAAAGTAGAAAAGTTCCCCCAAAATAGTTATTTTTCCAGTTATTAATTTTTTTTTGCCTCAATTGTTTCATTCTCCTAAAACTCCCCACAATTCCCTTTCTAGTGATTACTTACCATAGTTTGGGTCACCCCTATTGATTGTAGAGATTATGTGGGAAGCTGAGGCTGATCAGGGTTTGTAAAACAGTTTAACATACATTTATGAAATATTTTACATTGTTAACCCACATCATCACAAGTTGGGGGACTTAGCCATGAGTGCCCTGGAACTATTTTCGGCATGAAAACTTTGCGAACAAGATGGCCGTCACCACGTGTTCGAATGACACTTCGACTATGGCCCTTGTGTTAAACCCTAATTGAAAACATTATTTGTGCCTCTTGGACTGGTAACAGGAACCATTCGAACTTTCAAAGCCATTTGAAATGGCATTCGAACACGTGGTGGCAGCCATCTTGTTCGCATAGACCAAAACCACAAAGTTTTTATTCCGAAAATAGTTCCCCCTGAAGTCTATTTGCTGTTTTGGTCTATACGAACAAGATGGCCACCACCACATGTTCGAATGCCATTTCGAATGGCTTTGAAAGTTCGAAGGGTTGCTGTTATCAGTCCAAGAGGCCCTAACAGTGTTTTCAATTAGGGTTTAACACAGGGGCCATAGTCACAGGGTAAGAGGCTGGCAAGTATGCCCCTCCAAGAACCCGTGACGAGGTCCAGTGCGTCACAAGTACTAATACGCAATCTGATGTTCTTTATAAAAAAATATGCATTTATTGTACTTCAAAAGGAAACGATAATATACTTAACAGATGATATTTCTTAACAATGTTACAAAGAGTGAGAGATCGTCTTGGTATCATTAATTCAGGGACACACTAGGAGAGGAGATTATGAATAAAGTACTTTTTTATGCTGGACCTCCTGATCTTCATATCCATAGATATCACCTATGCACGCTAAGATTGAGCCATCTGTATTTGCTCTTTTCTATGTAAGTAAGTTTTTATTTGTGTTTACACCCTCACTTTACGGTGTACACTATATTGTTTTATTTTCTGCACCACCTACACATCCCAAAATGGGGATTATACCACTCCACACTATAACCTAGGAGCCACTGCTAGGCTCCAGAACTTACTTTTGGAATTTTAAGTTCAAAATACTACACTGTATTATTTTATCCTGTTCTCCTTTTCTGTCTATGAGATCCTCTACCACACCTCACAAGGACTAATTACTTGTAATACAAGAGCTATACTATATCCATAGGTGGGGATCATATAGCTCATAGTCTGAGCTGGATTACAGCTCTGGAAAAGTGTTAGTGTATAGCTTATATTTTATTTCTTATCACCAAAAAGACATACTACAATATTGGTCCCTGTATTTTCCATTTTTGTCACTACATAGGCTTTTAAGAGCACGCAAGGCGCTACACATATCCCCCAGATATACTTAATTTTTACTCAAATGAATAAGAGAGCCACCAGATTTTGGATGTTGAGATGCCGAACAGCACAGTATTATTAATGCGCTGAATGTTTCCTTTGTTTGTTTTTTTAAAATATAATTATGTATATTTATTTTGTCATGCTTATTGAATGTAACAACAATGACACGTTTGCTACAATGTTAACTGAACACCACAAAATCATTAGAACAATGTATGCCTCCCACAATATTTATGTAAATTAATAAATACATTTGCAAACATTATCATAATTAAATGTTTTATTTATAATTGAACATCAATCTATCCATAAAATTACTGTTTTATTCTGTGTTTATGTCCCAACTTTGCATTCCATTGTTTCAAATAAATATTGTGCGGTTTTGTTAAGGATCAAGCCGTCAATGGAAAAACACGACGCATAGTTTGAGTTCCGTTCCAAAATAAAATACATTAATTCTGCGTATTGTCACAGGTAGTAATGTACACGAGAGGACATTTGGAATGAAAAGCAGTTTATTCTGTAACGATTGCAAAATAAGGAACTCAAACAAAAAGTCATTTATATGCATCAGTACATTTATTCCTCTTGTCATAAGCTATTAAAGTACAGTGATCGAGCAGTAAAGAATCCTGAAAATGAAAACATTACTTCGCATAGCATTGTATATTCAACATTTCTAAAATTCAACGGTACCATAAAACAACTGGGAAATAGTGACATTAATGAAAATTGTTCCCTAGAGCTCGAGGGTTGTAGCGTTATTGAAGAGCCCGTAAACAAGTTAAATTGTTTAATACTATTTTGTGTTATTAAATCTGCACTCAGAAACAAAGCTTACTTTTGGCATATACAATGTATATTTACAGTTTTTTCCCCCCTCCTGTATTGGTTGTGTTTCAATATCATATGGTATTTCCGTTATTGTTATAACTCTGATTTTGTTTAAGATAAGCTTTTACAAAGTAAATTCAGTATCTGTTTGTTTTTTTAAATCAGTTTTACAATAAGCATAATATCATGTTGATACACAGATAAATAAAGGGCCATACAGGATAATGCATCTCGTATTTAACCCCTTCAGGACTAGAGTTATGCAGGATGCTTGTTATCGTAACAAATAGAAAATGTGTCTGGATCCGAAAGTTACGTTTTTTTTTTTTTTTTTTTTACATTTTGTTATTATTGATCCCATTTATTATACTGTAATTGCTTAACTGAATCATCTGCTTTCTTCTGTGATTCCTTGTTCTGCGAATGGCTGGAAAAAAATCCTGCTGACATATTTTATGGTCATGGTGATGTATTCCTGGCACTATCGCTCCCCCTGCCTCCCTCCTTTCTCTTCGAAGGGCCATTAAAGAATACTATGTGATGTCTCCCAACTTTCCTGATAAATGAGGCTCCACCACAAGGTTATCAGATGGTTACTTTGGGTAGAATTGTCAATTCCTACTTATAATCTCTGTACAACCTGTTCTTATGAATCTGGATGAACCATATATCAGGCTGTACGTAATGGTGGTGAGAGGCATTGAACTTGTCTTAGCAACTGGGTGGTCAACCATTTAAATTATCATTAATAATGCTGTGATGATAATAAAATATAATGCAAACAGAGTTAAAGGGACACTGTAGGCACTGTAACAACTTCATATGATTGAAGTGATTATAGTATCTGGAATCTGCTGGAGCTGACCTTCATTCAGTGTTAAGCCATTTTTAATGATTTAATGCTAAACAAGAGTCTCCAGCAGCCCAACCCCTCTGTGTTGCTTGTGCTAATAAGGAAGTATTAGGCAGAGCAGCAGTGGGTGGCTGTGATTGGCTGAGAGTGTCAGCTGACTGCTTGCAGCTCATCAATGCACCGATTGCTGGTATGAATTGGTATGGCTAAAGAAGTGTGTAATCTCTGCCTTAGCCAGATGTCCATGGGGGCCAGGCTGTGGGCAGCCACTGACCCTCTGTCGCTGCATGAAAATTGTTTAACATAAAAAGGAGGGACAGCCCCATGAGACAGCACTATGAGACGAAATAGCGATAGTACCTATGATATCCCTTTAAATTGCTGAGAACCGATAATGACAATGAAATAGCACTACATTCATAAACACACAACTTCATTATCACTCTGTAAATAAAGCCACCATTTCAATGGTATTGTGCAGGTTACGGTTGTTGGCGGTATTTATTTGTAGTAAATACATAGTTTCAGTTATCTACAGTCGGTGGTGCTGCCAGTTTCAAATTCAACATACTGTGAATTATTGCACATGCTAAATTGGTATCACTCTCTGATATCAGTATATTTATATTACATATTAACAATGACTAATGGAACCTTTGGTTTGAGCTTAAATGTCTTTTAGTCTATTAACTTGTTTTACAAAGAACATTGAGATAAATACATGAATAAATAAATAGCTAAATAGAACAATATTACTAAAGCGTGTTACCATAATTTCTAATTAGTGCCCAACATCATTGCCGATTACATTTTATTGCTAAGTGATACAGTAATTGTGTTTAAACCAGGATAGAATCCGAAGCCAATCATTGCACTGATGACTCTAATTGGCTTTTGTATGAAATAGTGTCAGATTCATGCGTTTGATACTCTGTCTTCCATAAACTATATTGATCACCCAGCCTCGGTGAGCCGCAGGAGTTATATTGCTAAGAGATGTATCAGACGGTAACGGATTGGATTCCCTGCGGGGTCCCATTGCAATCTCTGTAACACATTGCACCTCAAAGGTTATGAAGGCCCATTGTTGTCACGAACATCTGAATCGTTATGTGAAAATGGAAATATGTTTCACCCGTACACCCCCCAGTGCATTATTCTGCTTTGACTCATCCGACCCAGCAAAACCTTTCTCATATAACTTGATCTCTATAACTGTGTCATCACGTTCTCTTTATAAATGTGTATATGAAGAAATGAATAGCCCCCCGAGGCACATTCTGCTGCAGACTATCTCTAATAACTAGCTATCGCACTTTGCCAGGAGTAGTTACCTTTTAATGGATGAAAATTGAGCCTAGCATGACTGATGAGAATGGAATCGGAAGACATCCCAGAAAATGTCAATTATTTCTTGCCTTTCTAAGCACAGTCAGTGAGTCTGGTAAGAGAATAGGTGCAGTTTTTTATAATAAAGGCACAAGATGAGTGTGAATGTCAGAATGAAAGACCGCGTTGGGATTGTCACGGTTCTCGTTGTGACATCCAGACGGCCAGACTTGGTCACCCCAGGGGTGTCCTGTCATGGTTA